GTTGGAGGTTGGAACTCTATGTTGCCGACAATGTTTATCCTTCTAGTATATTGATAAATTAATTAATATAATTAACTAATTAAAAAATTAAATTAGTTATGATATAAAATACAAATTATCCTTCTAGTATATTGATAAATTAATTAATATAATTAACTAATTAAAAAATTAAATTAGTTATGATATAAAATACAAATTTTATATAAAAGGGTCCAGTCGTAAGTCCACCTACCTCGGTGTTAGTGTCATGTTACTCAAAGTTTCCAAATAATTATATAGTTATTCCCTATCAAAATTGTGATAAAATTATGTAGGTAAATAATTTTAAAATCTAAATTCAATAATATATTTATGTATTTCTTTTAAAAAAAATTATATTTTTTAAAAATATAAATAAGAGTAAAAAACAGGGTTTATTTGAAAATATATATGGCAATTTTGAAAACGATAGAATAAACATTCTATTTTTTGGGCCAAAAAAAAAAAAGAAAAGAGAATAAAAAGGATAAACTTGGCCCAAAAGTTTGTGGCCCACTGCCGAGCTGCATGACCATCAAGCATAAATAGAGGCATTGGGATTAGGGAAATTTTTGTCTCCTATGAGATATAAAAGTATTTTCAATTTTACCTTAATGTAAAAGTATTTTCAACAATACCTAAACTAACTATTTTATTTAAGGAATTGCATCTAAATCAGTTATCTGGTACGTGCGTGAAATCCGCGATTTGAAAAAAAAAAAAAAAAAAAAACTGATTTATTTATTACTTCCTTAATTCACGCAACTTGTACATTGTAGTTTAAACAGCCGTCAGGTAGTATATTTTAAGTTTATGTTAGTATATATTAAGTGTGTGTTGCAATATTACAATTCACGCAACCGCCAGGTGTTATATTTTGAGTTTATGTTATGTTATATTTTGAGTTTATGTTAGTACATATTCAGTATATGTGAAATAAAAAACAAGTCTTCCACAAAAAAAAAATTATATATATATATTTTTTACTTTTATACATAAAAGTATATAGAAACACCAAAAATTCTGAAATTTTGGGGGGAATTTCCGCTGAACATACACCAAAAATATACTTCAAATATACTAAAAATGTGTAACAGGTGCAGAAAGTCAGTGACAAAAGTGTATATCATAGAAAGAGAAAAGATACGTAGAGAGAAAAGTTACATCGGATATACCCATCAGATAACCCGAGAAAAAGTTACTTCGAATATACTCGGATATACCCAACATATAACACAAGAAAAAAAAAGGAATTATTAAAATAGATAACCAGAGAAAAATTACTTCGGATATACTCGGATATACCCAACATATACCCAACTCGATTTTGTAAAAATACCTTCGAATTATAATCAAATCATACAAAAAAAAAAAAGAAAAGAAAAAAGGGGCAAATTCTAGGGAATACGAGACGGATTATTCTTGTCATCCACTCAAGCAGGAGGGTAAACTCGCCGGTGCTGCGCGAACTAGGAATCGCCGGAGGAGGGGCGCGTCGAGGGTGGCTGTTCGCGGGCGGAGGGCAATCGAAATTCGGTAGATCTAATAACTGGTGAAACGTCGCCACCATCCGCCGGATTTTTTCGTTGAGGAAGAGGGATTTTGGTTTTTGCCATTGAAGGAAATTTTGAGATCTGCGAAACTGTTGAGCGGTTTGAGAAGATGAAGGGATACGTGTGTTGGTGGGGATGACTACCTTTACCTTTTAGTTCCACTTTTTTTGGTAAGTGGATATTTAATTTGTCTTAAGTATATCATTACCATTATTAAAAATGTTAATAACGGTTAATAAGGTTTTTAGGCATAATTGAAAATCTTTTATGTGGTTTAGGTGATTTTAAAAAAAGAAATAAAAAGAGTGCAAAAGTGATAAATAGTTTAAGCATGACAGTATGACATGCAATTTCCTCTTGGGATTACAAAGAAAAATACGCATCAAAATAAAACTTTCTCCCAATTAGTAATGGCGTCGCTCTCCTTCAGCCTTGCTCTCACTCACTGAGCTGAGTTTTTAACTGAAAGCTTTCCATCAATATTAAACACTATATGGGAGATGGTAAGGTCCCGTTACGGTACCATCCCGTCAGGAGTTTTAACCGTTGGATACACATGCAGTTAGTATAAGATAGATGATCCAACGGTTAAAACACCCGACGAAATGATACCGTAACGGGATCATAGCATTTCCCTTTACTATTATGTATCACATTTTCAGAAACAATCAGAAAAATATAAACATAAGTTTATCACAATAAAAGGCCTTTTGCACTAATCAAAGTAAAGGTTCTGTACATGTCCAACACCCTTAAATAGCAACAAAAGTTTAAATGACAATATTGTAGCAGTACAAAAGTTGAACTTATAAGCCCATATTACATTTTACATTATTCTTATTCTAACCATAGCCACCACAATGAAGCTTTTCTCTTTCTCCCCTGCACGAAATTTTCACGACGAGAGTCCCAAAAAACACATGCACCAAATGGATCGACTTTGCCACATAGTCGTACCATTTCAGGCCTCAAGTCGACCCCACAAATGCAACTGAAAAAAATAAATCTAAATAATGGTTCCATCTCGGATAGTTGCCTTCTCAACTACAACCGTTATACCCGAACGGATATAGAATCCTTCCTCGGGCTTATCAGCTTCAACAATGCCCTGTTTGGAGAAAAAGGATAACAAATCATTTTACGGGGAAAAAAAGATGCTGTTTTCCAGTTCATTTGACAGTAAATATCTGGTGGAATCGAACTTACGTCCTTATTCTTGATGATCACATCTTTCCCGATTCTTGCATTCTTGTCGATAATACAATTGCTACAGGGAAAACAAAAGAAAAGAAAAGATCATATGTTAGAACT